TTCTCTTTTTCTTTTTCTTTTTCTTTTTCTTTTTCTTTTTCTTTTTCTTTTTCTTTTTCTTTTTCTTTTTCTTTTTCTTTTTCTTTTTCTTTTTCTTTTTTCTTTTTCTTTTTTTCTTTTTCTTTTTCTCTTCCTTTTTCTTTTTCTTTTTTCTTTATCTTATTCTCTTTATCTTTTCCTTTTCATTTTTTTTTCCCTTTCATCTTCATTTTTCTTTTTCTTTTTTCCTTTATCTCTATATCTTTATCTTTATCTTTATCTTTATCTTTATCTTTATCTTTATCTTTATCTTTATCTTTATCTTTATCTTTATCTTTATCTTTATCTATCTCTTTATCTTTATCTCTTTTCATTTTCCTTTTTCTTTTCCTTTTCATCTTCTTTTTTCTTTTTTTCTTTATCTTTATCTCTTTATCTCTTAATCTTTATATCTTTATCTTTTCCTTTTCATTTTTCTTTTCCTTTTCCTCTTCATTTTTCTTTTTCTTTTTTTCTTTATCTCTTTACCTTTTCCTTTTACTTTTCATTTTCCCTTTCCTTTTCCTTTTCATTTTTATTTTCCTTTAATTTTTTATTTTTTTTCTGCCAGACATTCTTAATTACACCACAATTACCTCTTTTTTTTTTCCCCAGCGTTGCTTTTGCCAATCAGTTCAGCAGTTCAATAAAAACCAGCAACTTACTGAAGTACCCAGAGCTTCTCCAGCACCATCCTCTGCTGCCAAAACCAGCTTTGGTTGTTTGGTTTTTATTTTAAATAATATATATTTTAATTTTTTTTTTTTTTATATAAAAACACCTGTTATTAATATTCCACTGGAGCTCAAAGTGGCTCAGCTTGGGGCAAAGGCACAATTAAAACACCGTGTTTTCCTACAGAACTCTGCATTTATGGTTTGAAGAATAGAAATGTACAGCACCAATCCTTGGGAGGGAGGGGATGTGTGTAGGAATCAGAGTCCCCCTGCAGGGGCTCTCCAGTCTTTTCACCTTTCCCCCAGCAATTGGTTTGGAATCTTTCTTTCTTTCTTTTTTTTTTTTTTCTGGAATTCTTCCCATTTCCTATCAGCTGACCATGGGCTCCACGTCCGTCTCTCTGTCCAAATCGTCCTGAATTTCGTCTGTGTTTCCTGAGTCGCTGCTGGCTACGGAGCTGGGGGATGGAGAATTCCTGCAGGGAAAAAGTGCAGCCAGAAAATTAAATATCAAAATAAAAAAAGTGCAGCCAGAAAATTAAATATCAAAATAAAAAAGTGCAGCCAGAAAATTAAATATCAAGGGAAAAAATGCAACCAGAAAATTAAATATCAAAATAAAAAAGTGCAACCAGAAAATTAAATATCAGAATTAAAAAATGCAACCAGAAAATTAAATATCAAAATTAAAAAAGTGCAGCCAGAAAATTAAATATCAAAATAAAAAAGTGCAGCCAGAAAATTAAATATCAAAATAAAAAAGTGCAGCCAGAAAATTAAATATCAAAATTAAAAAGTACAGCCAGAAAATTAAATATCAATTATTACAGAATTTAAAAAAAAAACCTTAAAATAGTCACTTTCCCTTCCCAACACTTAAAAACCTCTTTATTAACATTAATTCTTAAACATTAAACAAGGAGTTCCCCCAAGCTATTTAAAAACTTCTTTAATAACATTAAATTTTAGGTTTAGGGTAAATATCAGTGGTAAAATCAAGGTGACAGACACAGAGGCTGCCCCATGATGGGGAAATAAATGAGCATCCCTAATGCCCAGAGCCCTGAAAATTAAAAGTTTATCATCTTGTTCTACTGGGGTTGAACGAGAGATAAATCCTTCAGAGTGTAAGGTTCTTAACACATGAGAAGATTAAAGAACGAGTTCTTGGTGTAAGTCCAGAGTTGAGATTTAATTTGGGGTTTTAAGAGTTGTAAATCTGAGATTTTGAAGACTGAAAGTCCACCCGAGCTGGAGCTGCCTGTGCTGAGGAGCTCTTTAAAAAGTGCAGAATTCCTTTTCAAAGCTGATCCTAGGACACAAAATTCTCCAAAAGACAAAGCCATGAAGTTCTGCCTTTAGCCCAGGCTTTCATTTTCAGCTCTCCTATTTTATTTTTTTTTTTTAAATATATTTTTTATTTATAAATAAATTTCTATTTATTTAAAACCCAACAGTGAGGGTGGTGTGTTGGTTTCGTGACCGATGATTTTTACCTTTCCAGACCTTCTCAGAACTTTCTAACAGAAGAAAATCTGGAAGAATAAAACCTGCTCTCATTTGAGATGGAGTTTGGAGAGTCTGTGGGGTGCAGGAAATGTGATTTTCTGAGCCTGACAGAGCTCCAGGCTCTCTTTCCCAAGGAAAACTCTTTTGAGAAGCTTTTCTCTCCCAAGGACTGTTGTGTAAATAAGATTTTAATTCTCAAAGCAATCACAGAGATGTTCTCAGAGCGTTTTTATCTTGTCCCACCAATGGGATGGGTGTTCCTCCTTGTAAAAAACCTCAAAAAAAAGGCTGAAAACCCCAAAATCAAGCAATTTTTGCCTCCTAAGAAAGCAAAACTTTGGTTGCTGTGATTTTTTTGTGTGTTGCAGGGCCAGGGAAGGTCTCCTGGAGCAGCAGGAGGGTGGTACCTGTCGGCTGAGCCCTTGATGAGCCTGCGGCACGTTTCCATCTGCACGTCCAGACCCCGTTTCATGCTGCACATCTCCATGTACTCGTGGAGGTGACGGTTCATGTCGCTCTTGGCCGTGGCCAGCTCCAGCTGGAGGCAAAAAAAAGGGCAAAGAATGAGGTGAAATCCTGGTTTTCCTGCTCTTTTGTATTTTTTAATTTTAGTTTAATTTTATATTTTTTAATTTTTTTTTATTTTTTGTATTTTTAAAATTTTTTTATTTTTTGTATTTTTAATTTTTTTAATTTTTTTTATTTTTTTAATTTTTTATTTTTGTATTTTTTGTATTTTTAATTTTTTAATTTTTTGTATTTTTTAAATTTTTTAATTTTTTGTATTTTTAAAATTTTTAAATTTTTTGTATTTTTTTATTTTTTGTATTTTTAAATTTTTTATTTTTTGTACTTTTTAATTTCTTATTTTTCGTCTTTTTAAATTTTTTTATTTTTTGAATTTTTTCTATTTTTTGTCTTTTTAAAATTTTTTTAATTTTTATATTTTTAAAATTTCTTAAAATTTTTTTGTATTTTTTTAATTTTTTTTTTTTAATTTTTAAATTCTCTACCTTGTCTCTTGTTGTCTAAACTAAATTTTTCACTCGGTGATTCGAGAAAATTTTTTAGTCTACACACACTTTGAGCTTTTTCTATCTAACATTTGTTCTCATGAAAACATGCCCATGAATTTCATGGACATAAGATATAAATACAAATGAATATAAATATAAATATAAATATAAATATAAATATAAATATAAATATAAATATAAACATAAACATAAATATAAATATAAATATAAATATAAATATAAATATAAATATAAATATAAATATAAATATAAATATAAATAAATTAATTAATATTTATATGAAATACATGCCACGTTATATGAAATTTTCATGCTATTTTCATATTTCGTGTTATATGAAATTCAGTGTTTTCTCTGGATCTTAAAACTAAATATCACAAACAAGGGCACACACTCTGTATCCCAGACTCCAACATCACCCAAACATCCCCAGCTCTTTCGATTAATTAATTAATTATAATTAAAATTCAATCTTTTAACCTAATTAATTGCTAATTATCAATTCACTGATGAGCCCAGGAAGGGCAGGCAGAGCCTCACTCTGCTCCTCAACAGCCCTGCAGGGTTTCTCCTGCTCTTGGCACCTTGTTTGTCAACGGTAATTAATGAAAGTGCTAATTAATCAAATGCAGAGATTTTTTCCTGGCAACCTGTGGGGTCACCAAGCATTTCCCAGGGTGAGGGTGGACATGCAGAACACAGAGGTGGGGGGAAAAAAAAGAATAATATGAAAAAAATAATAATATTTTTTATTTTATTCCCTTTTGTCGTGCAGGTTCTCCCTGCGGCAGCCTCAGATTTACGCTGAAATATAAAATTTCAAATTTATATATTTTCAATATATAAATTATAAATATATAAATATATCTATATAGATATAATATATATAATATAAATTATATATGATGTAATTTATAATATTGTTATATATATTTATAATATTATATTTATAATATACTTATAAAATATATTTATATATAAATATATATTATAAATATATATTATATTTATAATATACTTATAAAATATATTTATATATAAATATATATTATAAATATATAAATATATAAATATATAAATATATATAAATATACAAATACATATTTTTATATATTATATATTATATTTTTATATATAAATATATAAATATTATATATTTTTATATATTATATATATTATATTTATACATAGAAATATATATTACAAATATATATAAATATATATATTATACACATTATATATACATATATTATATTTATATATATTTATATATAAATATATAAATATTATATATTTATATATATTATATTATATATAAATATATATAAATATATATGTATATTATAAATATATATATTTATATATATAAAATTTATAATATTATTATATATAAATATTATATATAAATATTATATATATATATATAAATATATAAATTATAAATATATCAATTCATTAAAACCCCCAGGGCACAGCAGAGGGAAATGTGAATTTGTGGATGTTTGGACAGGACACTGCAGGAACAATTCCCCTTCCTCACCTCTATCTGCCCTATTGTCTCCTGGTACTCCTTGTCTCGAGTTTTGAAGAAGGACTCTGTTTCGTGGATCAAGTTTCCCAGGTTTTCTTCCTGCAGGGGAAAGGAGGACACAAAGAATCAGCAAGGAAAAACAGGAATTCGGGAGCTAAATGAACATTTTATTTAACTGAAGATTTAACTGAAGATTTTATTTAACTTAACATTTTATTTAACTAAACATTTTATTTAACTACACATTTTATTTAACTGAAGATTTAGTTAAACATTTTATTTAACCGAAGATTTAACTAAACATTTTATTTAACTAAAGACTTTATTTAACTAAAGACTTTATATAACTAAACATTTTATTCAACTAAACATTTTATATAACTAAAGACTTTATATAACTAAACATTTTATTCAACTAAACATTTTATTCAACTAAAAATTTTATTTAACTAAACATTTTATTCAACTAAACATTTTATTGAACTAAAAATTTTACTCAACTAAACATTTTATTTAACTAAAGACTTTATTTAACTGAAGACTTTATTTAATTGAAGATTTTATTTAACTGAAGACTTTATTTAATTGAAGATTTTATTTAACTGAGCATTTTATTTAACCTCTCCTGGAAATGCAGG